ATTATTATCATTAATTACGTTAATTAGTACCCCGCTGGACTACATCAATGACGACATTGTCTCGAATCTCCAACATGGCACCCTTGACTTTTACTTGTTTAGAAAAGTTTCAACCCCCGCCCCCCGGTACCCACTTTGCTCAGTTCTGTCGGAGATGAAGGTCACATCGAAATTCCCGCCTCTGAAATACAGTCGACCTTGCATTACCGACCACATATAAAAGACAACCACTTGTACAAACGATCATTTCCCTCTTCCCCCATTGCATTTTTAAAAACTATCACTGTCCAAGAGTAGATTTACCACCTTTCTAAGATGACCTCTTTTCTCTTGGACAATAAGTGGTGGTCTTAAACAAGTTCAACTGCAGCTTCTTGGCCTTGATGAATAAAACCCCTCCCACACTATAACTCCCTCTACCTTTCCCTATCGCCAAGTAACATCCTTCTTTTTTGTCTTTGCTGACCCTTGACGGCCTATGGGTTTGACCATGCTAAAGGAGTTTACGGTCTATGGGTGATCAAAGGAAGGGAGAGAGAGAGAAAGAAAGAGAAAGAGAGACAGGGGGATAGATAAAGTGAAAGACACAGAGAGAGAGAGAGAGAGAGAGAGAGAGAGAGAGAGAGAGAAAGAAAGAGGGAGAGAGAGAAAGAGACAGAATTAGAAAGAGAGGGGATAGAGAAAAACAGAAAAAAGAAAAAAAGAAAGAAAGATAGAGGTGGGAAGAGAGAACACAGAGAGTGGGATGACAGGAAGGAGTGCTGTACCGGCATACTGTTGTAACAATGGCGTCATGAGATCGTCTGCTTCCTGTCTGGCCCTGTCCCGTCTCGTCTGCTCCCAGTCCTCGGGACAAAGCGGCAACACACCCTGGAACGACCATGTATTATACGACGAGGTAGAATCAGGCATTCGTCAAGTTTTGATCTGTAGTTATTGGTATAATCTAAAGCTTGTTCATTTGACAATCGTTTGATGTAAAAGATACACACCTATATTACATAGAGGTCGGGGTATTTGCGATTGAAGGAAGTGTGGGTTGCCTGGTTTCAGAGGTAAATTAGCGAGAAAATGGCCAGCAAAGTTTGGTCATTTCCAAAGCTTTAGAGTCCTTGGAAACTGTACATGTACATTTTCTGTGCCGTTAATCAATGTTTTTCGGTCTAATCTACATAACAGCGCATTTCTAAAAAATGTTGAGCCAAAAAAAAATATTTTCAAATTGCCAAATGGGAAGAAAAATGCCTACATGTATTTCTTCGGTTTCATTATTTTGACGAGCGACTAATTTCACCATGATGCCTTACAATTTACATACTACGTGGCAACCTGTCACTGCTACGGGGTGATAGGTGTATAGAAACGCTAACACTCCTCCATAACACAATGTAACTGAACTGAACTACTTCTGGCATGTGGTCGCGGTAGTCTTAAGTGGTTAGGTTACCAGACTCGTAATCATGGGACTGCGGGTTCGGTGGTTCGAGCCTCACCTCGTCCAACGATGTGTCCTTGAGAAAGGCACTTTACATAAATTTTCTACTTAGCTCGGTCCTTTCGAAGATGAACGTTAAACTAGGGGGGG